ATTTGCAGGGAAATGGATGGCATTAGAGCAGATTATGCTAAATGAAGTTAGCCAATCCCTAAAAAACAAATACTGAATGTCTTCTTTGATATAAGGAGGGCGACTCAAAACAGAGCAGGGAGGAAGAGCATGAGAAGAAGATTACTATTAAGCAGGGACAAGAGGTGGGAGGGAATGGGAGAGAGAAGGGGAATTGCATGGAAGATGGAAGGAGACCCTCATTGTTATACAAAATTACATATAAGAGGATGTGAGGGAAAAGGGGGGAAAAGAGAGAGAAATTAATTACAATAGATGGGGTATAGAGAGAGGATGGGAGGGGAGGGGAGGGGAGGGGGGATACGAAGGGGATAGGAAAGGCAGCAGAATACAACAGACACTAGTATGGCAGTATGTATAAACGTGGATGTATAACCAATGTGATCCTGCAATCTGTAAATAGGGTAAAAATGGKAGTTCATAACCCACTTGAACCAAATGTATGAAATATGATATGTCAAGATCATTGTAATATTTTGAGCAACCAATAAAAAAAGAAAATTTCAATTTTATCTATGAGTTTTAAAATGTAAGTATAATAATAAAAATGAAATTCTAAATAAAAAAATAGTCACAGAAAATCTCCAAATATTTTGAAACTAAATAACACTTCTAAATTACCCAGGGGTCAAAAGCAAATCATGAGTAAGATTAGAAACTGAACAAAAATTAAAACACAACATCTTAAAATCTATGGACTTAATATATGAACTTAGATGAATGGATTAAGAAATTGTGGTACACACACACACACAAACAAACACACACACAATGGAGTTCTTCTCAGCCATAAAAAAAAAAAAAAGAAATTATGGCATTTGCTGGTAAATGGATAGAAATGGAAAATATCATGCTAAATTAAATAAACCAAACTCAGAAATTCAGTGGTCTAATGTTTCTCTCATGTGTGGAAGCTAGAGTAAAATAAAGGACATGTGGAGGGAAGGATAGGATAACATAAAGAACCAATCAAATAAAGATTAATAGATGAGAAAAAGGAAGTCTAGTAGAGTAGATGAAGGAGAATAGTAGAGTAGATGGGAGAGAAGGGGGAGGATGAAAGGGGAAAAGGGAAGAGAAAAGGGACATAGAGATCATGAGCTGAAATTGATTTCCATGCATGTGTGAGTTTGGCAGGATGAATTCAACTACTATATATATATTTATATATAGAGATATACATAGATATTAGATATAATATATATAATAATATATAATATAATATAATAATATATAATATAATAATATATTATATATATAATAAATAAATTTTATTATATATATAATAAATAAAATTTATTGACTACAATCTAAATGTTCTTAGGGGTATCATAGGTTTAAGTGTTTGTAGTATATATAATATTCATGTATTAGTAATGTAGAAGGGTTTAAAATGAATGATTTAGGTTTATATCTTAAGAAACTAGAGAAAGAAGAAGCAATTTAAGCCTATATATGCATAAAAAGGAATTAAAATAGATAATAACAGAAATCAATAAAACAGAGCACACAAATGCAATAGAGAAAAATAAATGAAATAAAAATCCATGCACAAAAATTCAGACACAAATATGTCACAACAAATCCCACTATTGTGTATAAATATAATGTACCATTTAAAAAGCAGGTCTTTTTAATACAATAAACAACATTAACAAATTTTAGCAAGAATGATCAGGAAAACACGTAAATTATCAAGGTCAGGGATGAAACAGGAGGTTCTATTGTCATTAAAAGGAAGATTAAGAACAAGTTTATGCCACTAAATTCTACAACTTGATAAAATGAACAAAAATTCTTGAAAGACACAAATAACCAAAATTCACCTAAGAAAATTTAACTAGAAAACCCCTATATCTTTTAAAGAAATTTCACTCATAGCTAAATTTTCAAACATATACATCTTTTTAACAGTTATTTTTAGTACTGACATACATATTTTAATTTTTTCAGTTGCTTATAAAATTTTCTCCTCATCTTTGTGTTCTTAGTCTCATTGCATGTCTAATATGACTTTTGGCATGAAACCCCTCGTGTTTCCTAAATCTGAGAATTAATTATTTCCCTCAATTCCAGAAAATTCTCAGTCATACTTTTAGAAGTAAAACTGACACTCAATCTTTTGTTTACCCAGTGTTAGGTTCACTTTTTGACTATAGTTGCAGAACATATTTAGACACACAGATCTATCTAGCTGAAATTTTACTTCTTATACACACTCCATTATTGAAACCCTTCTGTATTTAGACAGGCTCCTGCTATAAATCATCAATGTCCTATCTCTAAAATTAATTAGTAGAATATCAAAACACTAAAGTAGAGACATTTTGGAGTATCTGCTGAGTGCCTGGCCATTCTTTGTAATTTCTCTTGACTCTCACCCTTTCCTGATATATTTGTACCATGTTTTCTCTTCTCCCTTAATGAAGCAAAATGAAACAAAGATGGTGCCTCGCTCAAACTGAGTTCCCTTTCTTTGAATTTCAGAATGAGGACACATGAGTCTAAGTCAGTTTATMTGAGGAAAGAAGAGACATAAACCAAAACAAATGTAACCAAGGCCTTTTGAAGGAAGCACTATTATGGGGACAGAAAACTCCAAACTAGTAATACCCTCATAACTGACACACTCTCCCTAAAAAGATTAGCTCCTATAGGATTGGAATCCGCAGAACACCACCCAGTTTACTTAAGATAGAGTACAAGGGTTTTATGAGAAAAATAAGCAACCCCACAGCACTCCACTTTTCTAGGCATTGGCCTTGAATCCTTGAGTCTAACATTGAGAGAGACATAAAGAAAGACAATTTTTACATTCTTTCAGTATAGGAAGTTTGCCATGTTTTGAAACAATATGTGTTGGCTATCAATTAGAATTCTAAATTCAATGCCATAGATATTGTTTTTAAAGTAATGTGTCACCTTACATTGTTTAAAAATCAACTATCATTAGTATCTGGTGTATTTCTGTCAATTCTGCTCTTTTATTGATGTTGCTGCAGAAAGTAGAGAGTGGCTCAGAAGGAGACAACTGYCTTGACATCCTTTCTCCACAGCACTAATGTTCATGTTTACAAGACAAAGCTATTGATAATGCTTTCTGATTATTTGGACTCTAACTTTCCACTGCCATGAATAAGCTTTTCGGAAATAAACTTTCCTTTTCATAAAAAATTTCCAGCTTCATAGATTTCCATAAAATTGCTCAAAACCTTAACACAATCCCACAATGTTTTTAATCTCTTATAACTCACCCACTAGAAAAATGATTAATTTCCAATCAGCTCTATATTAATGCTATTCATGATATTTTCATAGCAAAATCTGGGTCCATATTTCAGCATAAATGCCCTTGGAAAGTTTCAGATATATTCTAGTAACTTTAGCGTTGTAAGTGTCTGACTAGAAAACAAGACATTAGATAATCTAACTCAGAAAATTTTTTAATTTCTTGACTTTGATCATTTGCAAAAAGTCAATCTTTAACCCACACTCTAAATTTGTGGTATCCTTTAACTTAATCCTCCCTCTCCATATTTCTTATAAACTGCAAAATTATTTCAAGGTCTTATGAACTTCTTCTTCCAGCAGATTGAGAAGCAGCAATGTCTGCTTGCCTCACATCTATGAAATCCTGTTAAGGAATTATTATTATTATTATTATTATTAAAGAGAGAGAATTTTTTAATATTTATTTTTTAGTTTTTGGCAGACACAATATTTTAATTTGTATATGGTGCTGAGGATCGAACCCAGCGCAGCAAGCATGCCAGGCGAGTGCGCTACCACTTGAGCCACATCCCCAGCCCAAGGAATTATTGATTGACTCATTTCTTGAGCTAGCCTTCCTCTCTCCTTATCTGCCTCACTTTATCCTTCCTTCTTTCCTCCCTCTCCCTCCCTCCTTCCTTCCCTTCATCCTTCTTTTTGTCAAGAATACATGTTGAATTTTGATAAGACTTTTAGATACCTATAAAGACAGTTACATGATTTTTCTTCTTGTAACTATGGTATGAGTTGATGAATTATACTAATGTCTTTTCTAATAWTGAACTCATGGCATTTCCATAACAAATGCCATGTGCTTATGATATATTCTTAATATTTTGCATTCTATTGGACATTATAGATCCTATTTAACAATATTTTTAAAAGATTTTTCATTGATATTCATAAATCAGACAGGCCTGTAATTTTTTTAGTACTATTTTATCAGGCCTTCATTTTGACACATACTTTATAAAAAGAATTTGATGTTTTCTCTCTTTTCTACACTCTGGAACAATTTACATACCACAGGGTACATCAGAAAATCCAAAGGCTAAAAGAATTTAAACTCAATTAGGTCTAGAAAGATTATCATGGGAGGAGGACGGCCACTAGCAGAGTTCTGACAACTTTTCAAGGTTTCATGTACTTCGCAAAGAATTATTTAAAGTAGAATTTTACTATTTTCTGTTTCAAACATTATTTCCCTGTGTCATTTTGCATTTTGTGAATTTGTATTTTCACCAAAGAGAATGATTCACAGCTTATTTCTCTTCATTATTAATCACCATTTTTAATGTTTTATTTTGCTTTCTAAATTGTCACCTTCGGCCCTTTTTTCTCCATTTCTTCTGCTTTATTTCAGTTTTCATTTCTGTATTTTTGTATTCTTTTGAGTTGAATATTGAATCCACTATTTCCACTTTATAGATAAAGGATTTTAATGTAATAAATGTTTCTCAGAACACTGCTTCAAATGTATCCCAGGGGTTTTGATGTTTCATTATTATTATTTTCTAGAAGTTTGTATTTTCATTTTACTGTTACTTTCAGCAACACTTACWATACTGCAGTTTATCTTCATCTTGTTTAAGTCCTGCTCTTTTTGGTGATTTGGTTATATCCACCCATAGTCTGGGATTTGGAGGGATTTCAATTATATTTCATCTTGTTAATCTGTTTGAATTTCACAGAAGGAGTTTTGAAGTGATGACTCAAGACTGCTACTATGATCATGGATATGGAAGATCTCCCAGGAAGAAAACCAGTGAGAATTATAGATACTTTTACGAGACCAAAGGCTACTGTCATAAAATGTACTAACAATTATAGAATCTGGGTGCCTTTACAGGGAGGTTCTTTGTTTGAACCAGCTTTTGCAAAGATAGTTTTATAACCCAGAATCATTTCTTTTTATGCATCTGGAGGAGAAGATGGAATTTTCCCTTCATCCTGTGACTTTTTTTATTTCCTTTGCTGGCAGGTTGAAGAGCCTACATCTTCAAGACCAAGCACAAGAATCACATTTAGCAATGAGAAGCTAAAACATTTACAACATGGAAAGTGAAGAATAGAACAATTTTAACAAATGACCTGGAGTTCCATATATATATACATACATACATACATATATATTTATATAAAACAATTATATACATATATGTATATTTGTATATATACATATACATGTGTGTGTGTGTATATATATATATATAAAACATATAATGCTCCAATTATATTTCTAAAACCATAGCTTTGGAAGGGAAATATAAAGTCAGGAAGAAATTGATGACCACTTAGACCTTTAAATGAGTAAGATCTGCAATTAACCACTGAGTATTATCAAGGCCAAATTTTCTTCACAGTCTTTAAATACATGTGCTCTGTATAAAGTTATGAATTTAAATGTACAAAAATAAAATAATATTACTAAAAGGGGGAGGAGGAGAGAAGATAAAACTGGTACAGATTTACTTCATATAAATCTTTTTATAAAACTTCATCTAGGTTGGAAAAGATGTGATTTTGTATGAAGTTAACAAAATGTAATGGGAGAATGTTTTCCTACTGTGCAGCTCTTGTTGAGGGGCCAAATCTGAGAGCAACAGCTCCACACTCTATAAACAAACAAACAACAGGCCTAAAAAGAGTTTGCTAAGAGGTGGGTCCCCAAATATCACCTGAGACGTCTAAAGTATCCTCTACCTGCAGAGATTAAGGCTTGGGATGGAGGAAGTTGGTAGGGCTTTTCTTAAAGAGTTTTGTCAAGGTCTTGTGCATTTTCCTTTCCTCCTCAAAAGAATCCCCACTCTCCACTCTCAGCAGAGACAGTTGACAAAAGGGAACTAAATCAATTGAAGAACTTTTGCTAAACTTGACCTATGCTTCCCATGACTGGGGTGTGACCTATGTTTATTCTCCCCTGTTTTACCTAAAGAAGAGGTAGGCTAATGGTTAGAGCTCTCTGCAGTAACAAAGAAAAGAAAGAGGGCTATATATGAGGAATAGTCTGCACATCCAGAATTTCTTGGGGGCCAAAAAGCCAGCTTTCCTGTAGGCTTAGGAACCATAGTAGGCTAGAACTATCTTTGAAAGACTTTGCCCAAGACTATAAAGAGGCTGTGTAAAGTGCTCTATCAAAGTAAGAGCTGAGAGGGACAGAGAATGGTTAGTTGAACACCTTGTCTGAACATGTGTGTGAAGAACGTAATTGGGAAGGCCTTCCACTAAACCAGCCTATCTCTCATCTTTCCCTAATATCAAAACTCTGGCATCAGTGAGTAGAAAACATTGGCATGGTATGAAAAACAAAACATATTATACCTTGTCCCCAGTATTTGTCCAGTCCCGCCTGGTAAGGAGAGAAGCTTTAAATTGAGATTAGATTAGACTTGTTAATGTTCCAAACTTTTACCACAAATTAGAAACAGTTTAGTCTAGTGATAGGTAAAGAAACATGACCAAATGCCTTAAAATAGATCTCCTTTGGAAGTATTCATTGTTTGGAGTTCTTTTAATATGTTATTATCATTTAAATAAATTCAAATAAATATTGAAGATATAAAAGCACCTGGTTAAAAGTGGTTCTCAAAATTGGTTACACATTAGAATTATCTAATGACTTTTAAAAACCACTGATGCTTGTCCTACCCCAGATTATGATTTAATTAGACATCAGAGTTTCTAAAGCTTACCAGATGATTCTACTGTGCAGCCAAAGTAAGGAATGACTCTAAAAATAGTCTGCCGAAAAGTATACATATACTTCCCCCCTACATTACCCTCAAATATCAAGAGAAATTAATGAAAAGGTGGAATTTTTCATGGAAAAGATCTACATGTTTGTTTTCTCTCTGGGCACTCTCCTAGAGAACTGATTAAATAGTTTGTATTCATTTCATTAAAGACATATAAATAAGTAAGTGCCAAGACAGGGTGGGATATAATATAAACACTCAAAATATACAGATGTGGAAAGAAATACATTTGTAAAAATTAATTTTCTAACATACAGGATTTCTAACAAACAGGTTTCTAACATACAGGATTCTTTGGAAAGCATGTATCTTAAAGTGGTATTTTAAAGTTTATACTGCTATACAACTTGGAAATAAAAATGTTTAAGGATAAATAAAGAAAGATGGCAGAATGTCCAAAAACAGAACTTCATTAACGGTGTTCTTTCCTGAAAGTGACCTTAATTTTTCCCGATCATTTGAATAAATTCACTTAATCATTGAGAATATGATAGTACCTGGTAAAAATTGATAAAGCACACACATACTCCAAAATACAATTTATTTATTTATTTATTTTACCATTCCAGACCTGACATTACATCATTAGATTCTTTTACTTCTTTTCTTCCCTTTTTACTTCCATAGAGCTAAGATGATTGCAATGTAATAATCTATGCTAGATCATAAATATATGAAAATATGTTCTGTGAGTTCACAGGACAGAGGCATCACAATACCTGACTTCAAATTATACTACAGAGCTATAGTAACCATGTGGCATAGGCAGTATCTAGCAGAAAGTGAGTGGTATGGGCAAAGAGAATAACGTATCCATGGGGTTTAAGTCAGAAATACAGAGATGAATGCAACTAGCCTTCCCTTTGAGTCTGGCAGATCACATGACCAGCTGAAGAGGGTCAAGGTGGGTATTGATACACTCAGGGACTAAGCCTGGGAAGGTAGTATTTTGGGGTGGCAGAGTGTGCCAGACCTGTGGAGGATTGGCTCCCCTGTCCTAATTCTTGAAAAGCACCTGAGATCCATACTCCCAGCAGGAACTGGTATCTGCTAGGCCCTTGGGGTATGTTGATCTAATCTCCCTACAACAGTTACCAACCAACAAAATCCCTAGGGTCTGATTAGATCTAAACCTCACCCCCAGAACCCAAAACTTAGAACTCTGTAGAAGTCTCATCCTGGAGTGCATTGATCTGGTCTGTGCAGACAAAACTCCAATCAACAGTACTTCCTATTCCATCCTACCTTATACTGGTGAGAACAGAAGCTGAAAGCTATTTCAACCAACTTCACACTTAGGACACTCCTATTGGCAACACAGTGAGCAACACAAAAAGGGGAAGGGTTTAACAAGCCCTTGGGGTGTGTGCTCTCTTCCTCTCTCCCTCATTCAACATATCCCAGAAGAAATGGAAAGAACAGTCAGGTAGAGGCAGTGACCATTTGTCAATGTTGACAGTTTTGACTACTTCAGTAAAAACAATTCTTTCATTTTTCATTATGTGTGTGTCTGTATGTCTCTATGTGTGTGTGTGTGTGTGTTTTCTTGCTGTGCTGATCAGTTTGTGGACATATTTCTTTTTCATTTTGTTAAAAATTTGTTAACTATTGATAAATAGTTATTTTTTGTTGTGTTGTCTTTTGATAGTTTTTTGTTCATTTTGTTTTGTTTGATTCTCATTTTTCTCTCTCCTTCTCCCGTTTAACAGCCAAATTCTCTTGTTCATTTTCTCTCACTTTATTTTTTTCTCCTCCTTTTTACCCATCACTTGCTGCATCTCTTCTGCATTCTCTTCACATTTCAAACATCCTAAACTTTCTTTTACTTTCCTGTCACATTTTTTTCTTTTAAGGAACTGTATTTTTACAATCTCTTAGAATACTTGGTTTATATAATTATTGCCCCTACCATTCATGTTGTTGGAATTATTAGTACTGTGGATGGTATACTTGACACCTGCTGTTTACTTTGATACCAGACGTAATTCATTATTAGTACTGTGGATGGTATACTTGACACCTGCTGTTTACTTTGATACCAGACGTAATTCATGGCTATTTATTGTTTTTGCTGTTGGCAATTTCCTGTTTTTGTGGTAATTAGTGTTGTAGATGTCATAATAGGCAAGAGGCATTTATTTTGATGCTGTACATTGTTGGCTTTGGTTTTTGCTATTATATGTTTCCCCACTCCTGTGAGATGCTGGGAATCTATGGGGACACTGTGAGTTCCCTGGACAAAGGCATCCCAATACCTGACTTCAAATTATACTACAGACTATAGTAACTAAAATGTTACTTTTTT